AGGGGTTCTACATACTTTACATGAAATACAACAAGTCGATTTTTTTTAAGCCGTCATAAACTCCATACATGCATGAGGAATTCAAGCATGCAAAATGTTTAACATCCCAGTTCACAGATACTTTAGGGACAAAATCCGATTATGAATTATATGCCACAATAAATAGGGTTCAATGTTTCATAAAGCAATTTATAGTTCATAAAAATGACAAAATGTACCTGTCAGACAGAGCGAGGAGAGCGGTTCTCTGGGCTGCCTGCTGGAAGAAAGGGGAGATGTTTATTTAATAGTCTGACTTTTAGATGATGTGCTCAATCAACACTTTGAAAGAACCCGGGCTACACATGGTGTTGTCATGTGGCCAAATTCTAAACCACGGGCAACCCTGGCAAGCATGTGTCATGCTCGGCTGACAACATCCTGGTCACGCTTGCTGAAGACTCAGTGCACACCTACCTCCGGCGGGTGAGCCTGGGAGGCCCTAAGCACCCAACAGGGAGACACAGGGGGTGTCAGTCAAAGGAGTCTCAGGAAACCTAGCAGAGATCAGGGCTATTTCCCTGGAAGCTCTCAAGCAACTTCAACCAGTGCTTTATTCTATTTTCCTATAAGGGGGAAAAACAACAACCTTACCCTGGCACTTCTGAGAGTCAATTCTGACTCACAGTGATCCTGTAAGGCAGAGTAGAAATGCCGCTATGGGTTTCAGAGACTGTAAATCTTCAGTTTTGAACTTCTGATCTTGTGGTTAGCACTCCAATGCCTATCCCACACCCCCACCCCACTACCCCCGATAGTCAAATCTATTTTTTATAAAAGGGCTCCATAATTAGAAATTCTGTGACCAGGACTCTGGTGATATTTTGGAATTACTGATTTGTTTTAGCGATAGTAATGCTATCCTGGTACATTTCTTTGAAAAGAATCTTGTAGCGAAGATTTATCTTGACATAGTTGTGGATAAAATTACCTGATGCCGAGCCTGGCTTTCAGCTAGCACAGTTGCAGGGGCAGGTGTGGGTGGACATGCAAATGAAACCAGGTGGCCTTGGTTTCATCACTGCTGAAGCTTGGTTCTGAGAAGGGCACTGTGTTGTGTGGTTAGTATTATTTTGCGTGTATGTGTTTGAAATTTTCTGTAATAAAAATGTATGTACTGGGCACTACTGGGTGAGAGCAGGCAGAAGGACTCACGGGTTTTTCTATCTCTGAAATCATCATCTTCAAAACAAATTCACTGCCACTCAGTCAAATTCTGACTCAGAGTCACCCCATGGACAGAGAAGAACGGCGCTTGTCGGTTTCTGAGACTATAACTCTTGATGGGAGCAGAATGCCTCGTCTTTCTCCTGAAGAGAGCCTAGTGGGTTCGAACAGCTTACCCTGTGGTTAGCAGCCCAACATGTAGCGCGCTAGTCCACAAGGGCTCCTCAAAGTCAGGACTGGTGTACATGAAAGCATTGTCTTGAAGACCAAGACTTACTTTAGGTGCAGCCTGCGATAAGGAGCATGCACACTCCACGTTCACCTTGCACATTGCATATCATGTTGGCTGCTCACCAGGGACACACACACAATTTTGACTTCAACTTTTTAAAAAGCCCAACCCTCACCTCCATCTCACCTTTAGATAAAAACAGAATCTGCAGATCAGAAAAAGATAAATATCACAACCATCAACTACCTTTCACATATGAGTGGGTACCCCACAAAGAAACCCCAGAAAATTTCCCCCCCAAAGCTATGCATTTAATTTTTTTTAATTTTAAAAAACAACCATATCACCTTCAAAGTACTCTCCATTACACTTAATACATTTGTCAAATCTGTGATTCCATTCTTGGAAATGTTTTTCAAACTTATCTGTTTGGATGGCTGACAGCACCTCCCTCATTTTTTTCTTCACCTCTTCTACTTCTCAAATCGCTGTCCTTTCATGTCCCTCTTCATTCTCAGAAATAAAATGAAGTCGCATGGAGTGAAGTCAGGTGCGTGGGATGAGAGAGGCATGCTGTTTTTTGCCAAAATCTAGCACACTGAGATGGCTGTGTGAGCAGGTGCTTTGTC